CAACTGTTTCAATAGTTTAGATATTCTGATTTTCTAGTTTCAGTCAAGCATTTGAAATTTATAATTTAAAATTATACGGTTGGTTAAAACAATTGATGTTATAAAATATCTTTTTATAAAGTGGTTTAAGCAAGTAATTTTGGTTAAAATACTTGAACGTAGAATCCAATCTTTAAAAAAAAAATTATATAAATAATCATAGGATGCAAGTTGCAATTGTTGGGTTCAAAACTTTTTTGTTCTCCTTAAATATTATTTTTCTCCGTTTCAGAGTTTCGGTAAAAAAAGTAAGGGGCATAAAAATTACGTACATACAAAAAAAGCCTTAGATTTTTCTGCAAATTGTTTTTATTTTTTATTTTTTTTTACTTTAATTTTATCAGACTTATTGGTGGCATATAAGGGACTGGATTAGTTCTTTTCTCACTAGTTCTATGCAATATTAAATGAAAATGGAAAATCTTTGCATTGTATTATGTAATAAAACAATTGACATATTCACAGATTACAAAAAGCTGGGCCAAATAAATTGTATAGCTCTGAAATAGTACACCTAATATGCTCCATATGCTGTCTTCACAGTTTTGCATTTTAGAATTTATCTCTATGGTATATAATTACTGTGTACCAGTAATAAGGAAACTTGGTGGTGGAAGAGTGAAGTACAGGAAGTTATTCAAAGAAAGAGGTTAGCCAAGAAGAAATATGACAGTGAGAGGACTGAAAAGAGGAGACAGAAATATAAGGAGCTGGAATGTAGAGCAAAGAGGGAGGTAGCAAAGCCAAAGCAGAAGGCATACTATGAGCTGTATGGGAGGCTGGACATTAAAGAAAGACGTACTGATTGGCTAGACAGAGGGATCAGGCTGGAAAGAATGTGAAGCAGGTTAGGCTTGTTAAAGATAGGAGTGGTAATGTTCTAACAAGTGAAGGGGAGTGTGATGGAAAGATGGAAGGAGTACATTGAGGAGCTAATGAATGAAGAGAATGAAAGAGAACAAAGAGTAGAGGTCATATAAACTGTGGACCAGGAAGTGGGAAAGTTTAGTGAGGGTGACGTCCGGAAAGCTCTGAAAAGAATGAAGATGGGGAAGGCATTAGGACCTGATGACATACCAGTGGAGGTTTGGAAATATATTGGAGAGATGGCAGTGAGGTTTTTGACTCAGATATTCAATGGCATATTTGAGGGGGAGAAAATACCTGAGGGATGGAGAAGAAATGTGCTGGAACCCATTTTTAAGATGGGTTGTAGCAAACTAGAGGGGAACTAGAGTTGTAGCAAACTAGAGGGGAATTAAGTTGATGAATCGCACACTGAAGATCTGAGAGAGTTGTGGAAGCTAGACTTAGACAAGAAGTGAATGTGAGCAGAAGGATGGTTTCATTCCAAGAAAGAGCATCACAGATGCCATCTTTGTTTTGAGGATGCTGGTGGAGAAGTACAGAGAGGGTCCGAAAGAACTCCATTGTGTCTTTGAGGATTTTGAAAAGGCATATGACGGGATTCCGAGAGAGAGAACATGTGGTATTGCATGAGGAAATCTGGAATAGCAGAAAATTATGTCAGACTGATACATGATATGTATGAGGACATAGGACACTGATGAGATGTGCTGTAGGAGTGACAGATAGCTACAAGGTGGAGGTGGGATTGCATCAAGGATCAGCTCTGAGCCCCTTCTTGTTTGCTCTGGTGATGCACCGACTAACAGATGAGGTCAGGCAGGAATCCATGTGGACTTTGCTGTTTGCAGATGACATTGTGATCTGTGGTGAAAACAGGGAACAGGTGGACGATAATGGAGAGGTGGAGGTATGCACTGAAAGAAGAGGAATGAAAGTCAGTCGTAGTAAGACGGAGTACATATGTGTAAATGAGAGGGACACCGGTGGAACAGTGAGGCTGCAAGGAGCAGAGGTCACAAAGGTGCAGGACTTCAAGTACTTGGGGACCACTTTCCAGGAAAATGGGTGATGTGGTAAAGAGGTGAAAAAGAGAGTCCAGGCAGGATGGAGTGGATGGAGAAAAGTTTCAGGATTGATTTGTGACAAAAGGGTGTAAGCAAATGTCAAAGGAAAAGTGTGCAAGACCAGCTATTTTGTATGGTGTGGACAAAAAGACAAGTGAAAGAACTGGAAGTAGCAGAAATGAAGAAGTTGAAGTTCTCCTTAGGAGTTACAAGAATGGAAACATTTATGAATGAGATCATCAGAGGTACAGCACAGGTTGAACAACTGGGTAACAAAGTTAGAGAGACCAGACTGAGATGGATTGGACATGTCCAGAGGAAAGACAGCGGGCTTATTGGTAGAAGGATGTTAGAAATGCAGCTGCCAGGAAAAAGACAAAGAGGAAGGCCAAATAGAAAAAAAAATATGGATGCAGTTAGAGAGGACATGAAGGTATTTGGAGTGAGGACAGAGGATGCAGAGGACAGAGTGAGATGGAGGAAGATGACTTGCTGTGGCAACCACTGGAGAGGGAAAAGCCGAAAGAAGAATCACTGTGTACAGTAGTTCCTCATCCCTCGTTTATTGTGGGGGATCCGTACCCTGAAGCCACGTGATAAGTGCAAAAACTGTGAAGTAGGAATAGTAGTACAAGTAGTAAGTAGTAGTTTATTTTATTATTTATATAGATATATATTTAGACATTTTAAACCCTCCCATGCTCTTGCAATATTCTAAACAATGTTTCTAAATGCTCTGAAAGAACACAGAATGTTATGATTTCAGCTCCCTTCCTCCTCTGCTCTATGCCACCTGCAAGTGCTCTTGGCCACGCCCATTTCTCTGCTCTGCACGGTGAACAGTTGATCAGCTGCAGCAGGAAGTTTATCCTGCAGTATGGGCTGTATAAATGTGCAGGAGGAAGCTTTTTCTGCAGCTATGGGCTGCACAAATGTGCAGCAGGTGCTAAATAATTAAAAATAATTTATTTAAAAAAAAAAAATTCATGCTGATTGTGTGGCTCATCCATCAATCAGCCAATTGTGTGTCATGTAATTTTGAAAAACCGTGATATAGCGAGTCCACGATAAATGAACTGCGAAGTAGCGAGGGACTACTGTACTTGTAAATATTTGTGAATTAAATTAATTTACACTAAAATGCATCTTTGATTACATTTGCAAAGCACTGCAAATAGGTTTTGCATTTTTTAAATATAACATTTGCATTTTAGGATTACGAATTTCAGTTGGTGAAACAAGGAAAGAACAAGAAAATTAATTTTGTCTTAAATCAAAGACTTGCCAAACAACAAGCAAAAAAAAAAAAAGCCAAATTTCTTTGATGAGGTCAAGTAAGTAGTGTAAATATAATTTCAGTTGGTAAATTAGCTAAAACAATCAAAAGTAGTATCAAAACCATTAACTTTTTGCAGTTCGACATCAGCATGTATGAACTGAAATGGATTATAGTTAATGTGGTTCTTACATGCCCATTTCCATTGACATAGGCAGCATGCAATGCTGTTTGCCAATATTTTTTTTATCTGTAACATGAGAAAGATTATATTTCTCTTTTCTGTTCCTATGTATCAGACTAATGCACAACCAGCTCGGTCATTATATGTCAGCTGTAATATCTAGCCCCTTTTTATTGATGTATTTTCCATAGATCAAAATTCATAGCACACTGTTTTTATTGTAACTCTATCCACCTGAGCAGTCACTGTGAGTGAAGCTCTGTGTCTCAACGATGAATAAACTCATGAATATGTTTTTTTTTTATTATTATTCTGTCACCATCTAAATACAAAATCAGACAGCAGAGACTATTTGGATTTTTATACAAACTTGAGAGATATATTGGCTGTTAACTACATTAGTCAGGTTTTTCCTTTAATGTTACCTGTCATTATCAAAAAAGAATAATAAAAAAATATATATATTTGGTGGTGGTTGGGGGATTTTAAAACCCAGGTCATGGTTTTACTTTGGGTTCCCTTTTCAACTAAATCAACATATGCTGTAAATCTGCTACAGTGTATGAGAAGTGACACAACCTTTTCATATCTAAAACAATTTGCATCGCAAGCTTGAATACACACATACATGCATACACACACACACATTTATATATAT